CTTCTCTTCTCTTCTCTTCTCTTCTCTTCTCTTCTCTTCTCTTCTCTTCCCATTCCCTTCCCTTCCTTTCTCCTTTACTTTTGTTTACTTTTGTTACTCCTTGCCCTTTGTTCTGTTTACTTACCCACGGAATTAACTTTCATTAAACTTACTTCGTGTTGTTTACAGAACCGGGTCCTGCAGCGACTATGGTGGGTAACATCGTGATGGGTACAAGAATAGGAGGCGCAGCAGGAAGAGAGATTGCTGATACAGGAGAAGAAACAGATTTGGCAAGAAAGGTACCTTCAACTATATATAACTAAGGCTTAGATCAAACGTCGAACTTCACATGAGCCACAGGCATTGAAAACAATGGATGATATGAGGCGATCTTTTATGATATTAGGTTTTGGTTATGCGAAGTTCAACGTTTGTACTACACATCACTACACATTGAATACGGAAATCATCCAAGAGTCATGTGCTTTCCTTTCATATAAAACCTACTATCACATTGCACTTTTGTGCATCATGTTTTATTGTAGACATTCTTATTATTAACTTTTGCTTTTGCTACCTCTATTTTTCAGTATCAATTTTTGTCTGAGATTCTTAAATGGCGGGCCCAAGCCTCACCAGATCACGTGCTCTACACATCTCTTAACTCAAAGGTAATTACAATACTATGCACATTAAACAAGCTCAGATAAAGAATCTTTTTGATGCTTTCATTGACTCAAGTCAGTAACTCGGGCATCTGAAGTTGAAGAGATCTTAGAAATATTGATAGCGGTTTAAATACGCTATTGGAATATTCTGATACTGACCACTCTTCATCACACGAATCTTTTTGCTTCTCTCGTTACGGTTAAAGAATTCGTTATAAAGGTTGACAGTTGCGTCTGCATCACGCATTGACCGTTAATGTCTTCATTACCTTTTTCAGGGAACCGTCTCTGCTACTTTGTCGATCATTCAGCTGCACAAGAGAGCAGAACGACTCGCACAGTTTGCCCTCGAAAGCGGGAAACTGACTTCAGGTGACATAGTGGCCCTACTCTACCCTCCTGGTAAGTATATGACACGTAGAAAGTATTACTCCCCACGCAAAGAGATGATGTTTTGCCCTTCAATTTTTCACGGTATTTTGATCTTTTCATCAGGTGTTGACTTCATAGTGGCTGTCTTCGGGTGTATGTATGCTGGTAGGTAACAACTCATCTTCAATCCTTGTCCATTAGTAATGGAAAAATTCTTGGATGAATCAAAGAAATCTAGCCTAATTTCGAATCGTTTTCTCTCTTTAGGTTTGATCCCAGTGCCCGTGCGTCCACCGCATGCAAATAACGTCTCGTCCACCCTCCCCACCGTAAAAATGGTAACAGACGTCAGTAAGGCTCGAGCCGTAATGACTCTTAACTCCATCGCTAAGATCTTTAAGAGCAAGGAAGCGATTGCTGTAGTCGATTATAAATCGTGGCCATCAATTATATCCACGGATGACGTGCCGAAGAAAAAGCTGGCTAATCATTACCGCTGGCCAACGCCCGAGATGATTGCTTATCTGGATTTTAGCGTATCAACAACTGGGATGCTATCGGGTGTCAAGGTTTGTTTGCTTTTATTCTTTATTTGCTGTTTACTTTTTTTTAGATAATATTTGTCTTCTTTTCCCTCTCTTTCTGCTTATATTTTCTACTTAGTATCTTATTTTTCTCTTTTTCTTCCTTTTTCTTCCTCCCTTTTTCTTTTTTCGCTGTTTTTCTCTCTCTCTCTTTCATTCATTCTTTCTTAAGTTCTTGTTTTTCTTTCCTTTCCTTTCCTTTCCATTCCTTTCCTTTCCATTTTCTTTTGTATCGTCTATTCGTTTCTTCTTACTTCATATACTCAGATATTTCAATGCTAATAGCGATTCTCTACGCATTCTCTAGATGTCCCATGCTTCTGTTACTGCATTATGTCGGTCCATGAAACTCGCCTGTGAGCTGTACCCATCACGTGACATTGCTATCTGTCTGGACCCATACTGTGGACTTGGCTTTGCTCTCTGGTGCCTGATAGGGTGAGGATCATTCTTGTCTAACACCGGTCCTATCGACCATGCACTTGCTAATGACTCTTATGACCTGTTTATACCGACCATGCATTTGCTAATGACTCTAATGACCTGTATATACCGACCATCACCAATCCCATATAACTAACCTCTTATCAGTAACCTTTTATTATTAACTTCTGTTGTCCGCTTTATAAAGGGTATATTCTGGTCATCATACGATCCTTATTCCACCTGGAGATCTCGAGACAAACCCAGCTTTATGGCTTTCAGCAGTGGCACAAAATAAAGGTCGGTGTAAAAGTTACGTTTGATAAAAAATTCACCAACTGCTATTATTATTTAATGGCATGAAAGTGCCAGTTTTCTCGTTCGCCTACGATGCAGCAAAAGAGATGAAAATGCGTTGGCAGAGGGAAAAAAAGAGGCTTTTGTTTAGATCAACTGATATCTCTTTCTGAAGAAAAACGTGTTCCTGTTTTAGATTCATTAATATTATAACAATTCTAGCTGTCTTGTTATTTCAGTTCGAGATACCTTCTGTTCGTATCCCGTAATGGATCTGTGTACGAAAGGGCTCGGCCAAGCTATTCCTACCCTCAAGGTAAATAAAAAAATATTTCATAAATTTGCAGTATCCGACGCCTCCAGCACTTTTACAGCCAGCCCCCTCCTATGCTATTCCATCACGTACACTCACGCGTGCGCTCAAATATCCTAACACACTTATGAAAAAATTGGCTGATACTGCATGTTGAGATGATCCAAACACCATTAGAGGAGAATTCACTGGCCAGAGGCGGATCCAGAGTGGGGCAAAGGAGGGCTGGTTATGTTTCTTGAAGTTGGAAAGCATATTTTAAATATTTTTTCCAAGTTCTGTAGTGTCATTCGCAAAATTCCCTCAAAGCCCTCTTATGTTTTTTGCTGGAACTACTGACCTTTATCAGTCTCGTAGTCATGCCTTTTAAATCTGTGCCAGACGCGTTCTTACCAGTCTTCCTATTGCAATAGGGAAGTGCTTCCTAGAGATCTTAAAGTGTTTAATGATTACTTTTAGGCTAAAGGGATCAATCTGACCTGTGTGCGTAACTGTGTGGTAGTAGCAGAAGAAAGACCTAGGATCACCTTGACTACAGCTTTTTGTCATCTATTCTCTGGTCTTGGTTTATCACCACGAGCTGTCAGTACCTCGTTCGGATGTCGAGTGAACGTGGCTATTTGTACACAGGTAACCCACGCGCAAGTATATTAACCCCTCATTGTCTCCACATTTGTTTCGACTTCTCTCTGTTCTGTGAGGCTTTAGTTTTAAGTACCCGTAATAAGGAGCACTGATAGTCTGAGGGGGTGCTTTATACATGCATCCCTGGCTCGGGAGAATTGGGCAACTATTCCCCGCGCGATCGAAGTAAATTTACCTTTACCCTTACAATATAGCGGAGATCTAGAATTTCGAGTTGGTGATTGTACCCCTTGCACAAATGTCAGAAGTACCATTTCCCCAAACTCATCGTAAGTTGGGAAGGAGAAGGAACGAAAAAGGGGAAGAGAAATAATATAACAACAGACGACATGTGTGTAAACAAAACGGCATGCCAACACGCTGTCCATGACATTCATACGAATATACCCTCCGAGTATCACTATTCTAAGGGAATTGTCAGTATCAGTTTGTGATATATATACTAATATGTTACATTGTCAATTGTCAGGGTGCGTCGACTCCAGAAGCTACTAACGTCTACGTGGATACACGTGCTTTAAGGAACGACCGTGTGACCATAGTAGAGAGAGGAAGCCCTAATAGTGTTTGTTTACTGGAATCAGGCAAGGTACGTGGTTAACTCAAAAGATAGGCTCTCGAATCACTGTCCCTGTTTTGCTGTTGTTTCAAGTTATTTTATTCTTCTTTGTTCCAGATTTTACCAGGGGTAAAAGTTGTCATTGCAAACCCAGAAACACGTGGAATGTGCGCTGACTCACACCTTGGCGAGGTATGTACTTTCTTAATACTTAGCCCTGCATTAGCCAGAGTGTTGGTCCTACTCGTGTTTTGCCTTCAACAGAGGACCACTATGCAGGCTATTCAGTCCTACAGGGGCATTTTTTACGTGTGAATGAACAAAACATAGTGTTTGCTTTCCTTCCTTTTCCTTTCCTTTTTTCTTCTTTTTCTAATGCGAAGGTTAACAAACTTTCTCGCATACGAGAAATATACGTTGATAGTGTTGTAGATAATTTGATTCAGCTTTGCGCGCTTTTTTTTTCATTTATATTTTCTGTTTTCAGATCTGGGTGAACAGCCCTCATAATGGCGCAGGGTACTACACAGCTGGTGATGATAAGCAGCTAGACGAGCGATTTAACGCACATATGACGACAAGTGACCAAAACACTGCGTATGCCAGGACAGGCTACCTTGGTTTTATTAAGAGAACGGACTTTACACAAACTGACGGAGGTGAGCGAGGTCTCCGCACTAGCATCTAAAACGCGCGGATCTGTGGCACGGATTGGTCTTTCAGTTTAATTGCGAACCAAGAATTACTCAACGCAGAAGTCTTGTGCATTTTACGAATTTTATTATCAATATTTATTTGTACTATTTGTTTTCCTATAGCTCGCCATGATGCTTTATTTGTGGTTGGGTCCCTGGAAGAGACCATGATGCTTCGAGGCATGAGATACCACCCTATTGACATCGAGAACACTGTTATTCGATGCCACAAACACATCTGTGAATCGTAAGTACTCAATAATGGTATTGACTCATAATCATTATAGTAGATTGTGCGCCCAGGATTCTGCCTGATACATTACTGTTGCATAACTGGGCCGGTCGAGTTTGAAGTATATTCTGAAAATGTCGCTTTTTATATTATTGTGCGGCTTGTATTGTTGTTGAGGTTGGCTTTTGTCGTTATTGTTGTTGTTGTTGTTGTCGTTCTTGTTCTTGTTGCTGCTACTGCTGTCGATGCTGTTTCTAATGGCTGCTATTGTTTCGTACACTTGCTTCTGTTCTTATCATCATGTTCCATTGTCTATCAGTATCAAATATTCATATGTTGACCGTGTGTCGTCCCTCTATTTTGCACTGACAGGGCTGTGTTTACATGGACTAATCTACTGGTTGTAGTAGTAGAACTAGACGCTGACGAAAGCAGGGCTCTCGACGTAGTCCCCCTCGTAACCTCAGCAGTCCTAGACGAGCACCAACTGATCGTGGGCGTGGTCGTGGTGGTCGACCCAGGGATCGTACCTATTAACTCTCGAGGCGAAAAGCAACGAATGCACTTAAGGGATGGCTTCTTAGCAGACCAATTGGACCCGATTTACGTGGCTTATAATATGTGAGCTGATAACAATTTGATTAACAATAGAATATATTCTTAACCATTCAAGTGTTACGCGCCCAGATTGTTATAACTTAACAGCTTTTGGACGGACAAGAAATCATTGGCCATTTGCTTTTAATTCAAAGACCCAAAACCTAACTACTATAATAATGGCCTTCTTAATATAATAAATTTAATATTCAAGAGTAAATGCCTTCGGTCCCAGATTAGACTGCTAGACGGTACTATGACGGGACATTTAACAATCCCACACGTTGGAGACATCATAGTTAGAAGGCCCCCCTCTATTAACCATGGAGACAAGCAGAGATTAAATAGCTAATAGACGGTATATATGAATCCCAGAAAGGGTTTCTGCCGCTTAGTGACAATATTATCCTGCACACGTTACCAGAATTCAAACTTTCGCTTTAGAGTGGATTTGTACTAGTGAGAAACCATGGCAACTGTGGCACTGAAATGGCTTCCTTGTTTACGTATTGTGATTGTTTGGTGTGCAAATACCTTTGTTTTGATTGGTTCAAAGAGGAACCCATTTGAGTTTTACGTAATATGGTTTCTCTCTAACGCCCAATCAGCTCTACCATTTGAAAGAATATCCTTAAATTAATTAGTTTTGCAGTACCGACCTCAATCTTCTTTTGATAAATCCCTCCAACAAAAGAAGACTTAAGGTCGTATCCTGCACAAAAATAATTACATTTAGACTATCCAGTAAGAGCAATTACGAAATGTAGTATTGATGAAAACAAAGCATTTTGCTTCCCTCAATTTAAAACTTTCATTTCAAGCAAAATTTTTATACATATTGTTTTCTTCGTTCGATGTGTTCAGAAAGCATTGTTATAAAACTTATCATTGGACAAATGTAGCAAAGACGACGTGGTTTCAAAACGACGGTGCTAAAGCGTCTTTTTTCCTGCGCGCACTCCTAGCTGAGATCCTCGAACAGAGAGGCTCAGAAAGACATCGGCGCGCACTTGAATAAGAGCGTACTCACACTGTCGTCTGAGGGCATGTTGTCTCCGCTTCCAAAAAATGTCCCAATGTGTAGTTAAAAGAGCTAATGTAGATAAAATGTGCGGAAAATAGTATAAAAAGACGCTATTACGTCATCTTTTATGGTCCTGAACTGGACAGAATATGGCCAGGTTCACAAGACAATAGGATAAAATATCTATGAATTAGTCCAAATAGTACAAAAACAAGCTATTCCTTTAAGTTTTATTATTGCAACCAGAAACTCGTATTTAACAGTACTTCGAATGCCCTGTAATTTCCCGCTTTTTTTGAGTTTGTGAGCTTTTTGCGGACATATCAGCGCCTAGATCATGGATGAACGTCTATCGTTCATTATGATCCATGTTTAAGATAGAAGATATGTGTTAATGAAAAATTACTCTAGATTTGTTTTCCCTCAAACAAGTTGGCAAATCTTCAGCATAGAAGATCTTGTTTTGAGATTCTAAATTTGAAACTAAAGCTTTTAAAATCAGTTAAGAGTAGGCACGATATCATATGGGTAGTATGTCTGAGCGAAACAAAATAGGACAAACTACTGCTGTAAGACGTCAAAAAGAAATCAAGCTAGCACTTTTCATCTATTTAAAGAGTTAAATCGATAAAAAGAATTAAATAATTTTGCCAACTTAAGATTCATGATGTCATCCTACTTTTTTCTTCTTGTTTTCTTTATTCCGGCAATCTGTCTTTTCCCTTCTTATACTTCCTTTATCGATTGTATTGCATTTGATCGGTATGAGTGGTAAGGTGTTGTAATACGGGCAACAACATTGCGCAACTTAACGCAAAACATTGTTACGTTGCAACATTTTTACTCCGCGCTCAATCTCGTATCCAGAGCCTGAGTTTCAGACCAGGAGAAACGCAGGCTCTGGGTACAAGATTGCTCCGCGCGCAGCACATTTCTATTGTCGCAAAGATTAGAGTTTTTACTTTGCACAACAATGCAAATTTGTTGCGCGTCGAGTGATAATGCGAGCAACATTTGCTCTGCAACTTGCAAGCACGGTTACGGTACAGAATGGACGACTTTCATTAAACCACAGTTTGCAGTATCGCTTAAACAAAACCGAATAGGTCTATTAACTGTCTCCAACTAAAACTTTGTTAATCTGTAGAAAAACGTTAGAGCATCTTCAATTTTAATCTGAAGGAATATTGCAGGATTTCTTTGGTGTTTTGTAGATTTATTTTTATTTTTAAGTAATGTTTGATAGCTAGATGTAAATCAATGTTGTTTTGGATCGAGCTTGTAAAGCAATTCACTAGTATTAGTGTTAAGTTTGTAAATTTAGTCTTGGTACGACCAACTAATTATATTTTTTAACATGTAAATAAAGAAAACTCAAAACACTTTTTGTCTTCTTCAAGTTTACAAAAAAATAAAGACATAGAGGATATTACATGGGCGCGGTGAGATACGAACTTTATCTTCGAGTGTTGAAAAGATCTCTCACGTGAAAATATCAGTTTTTCGACAAAGAGAAATATAGGTATTTTATGGATAATTATATGATAAAAACACTTATTAACATGCGCATGATTCAAAGCAGACCATAAAGTCCTGAATGCGCACAAGTGAATTGAACAGATACTCCATCTTAATAGTGTATATTGCTATCATGTGGTTGCCAGTCATTATAATTCTGCAGCGGAATTCTGAACACGGAATAAGGCGGACAAATCGGCCTTACTCAGGCGAATAAAAGCTTTTGTTAAACACGTTGAAAATTTATTCTTGAGCACTTGAATTCGAGGCCACGCGTAGGAGAAAATCTATTGCCCTAGTCAATATGGCTGCCGCGTGAGCAAGGTCAATGCTCGCTTCGGGACACGAGATAAAAGGCCAGGCAACCGCAGGAGTTTCTCCTCTGAGCTATGTGCTAACCGGGGTGCTAACGTTCTATCGTTTTGATTCTTATATTTTACTCCTTTCGATCATACATCAAGGTCAAAACACGTTATATTAACCAAGACAACAGAATACAATGAATTGATATTATTAGTATATTCCATCAACTAGAGCAGTTTTCGAACAGCTTTCGAGTGGGGGACATATTGTACTAACTACAGCATGTTCACGCCTGTACGACATGCCATAACACTGAACATTTCCTCTACACATTGCCTTCCAGTATAAACCTCTTTACCTTGGGCGTAATGTTTTCCCATTTCAGACCACGTGTCATTCCCTTGAGTATCATTACTTTGTTTAACGGTTCACATGAGAAAACACATGAATATGGATACAACTACAACAGAATCTTATTCTCAAGGGAATTAAACCTAGTTTTAAATGGAAAGCATTAGCCGTCATAAAAATTCTTTACTAAACTTGATTTACACACCCCTAAAAATGCGGAAGGGATCACACAAAAATAAAATAACTTCTTTCAATACCAAAACAGATTCATTCAGTTAAAAAAAAAACGAAAGAAAGAACAATTTTCAAGAGTTAATCCATTTCCATTCTATCTTTCTAGCCAAGGAAAAAGTATGGAAATTCGAGCTCTAAAAAAATTCCAAAAGATTTAAGGAACTACTGAACAGAATGGACTTGTACTAGTGTAAATGACATGGGGGTTTAGGTTTTTTCCTTTCTTTTTTCCTCTCTTTCCCATGATTTACAACTAGCACTGAGTTTTCTTGTAGATTCTGTTTATCCATCACTTCTCTCCTTCATTATTTTGAATAACAATCAATGAGTAGTCGTTCTCTGGTGCTATCATAATCTCGAATTTTCTCGAACGAACGCGTAAGAATTTCAGGTCGTTCAACGGGTCGAGATCCCTGATTGAACAGCGCGCCATTTGGGCCAAACTGAGGCAGTTTGCCAGATAGAGTTGTGTGGTGGTGTTGTCCAGTGTAGAACGTATAGCAACACCTTCAGCATTAGTGATTATCGATCCTATGACTCCGGGATGGGCATCAATCCTTTTGATAATCTGTTCGACTTCTTCTGCTGTGGTCATCGTGGTTGGTAATTCTATATCAAAATGAAGGAACGGAAAGTAAACATCAATTTGAGTTATTTCAATTATTGGCGCGTCTGTTTGGTTAGCTTGACATCACGAGAGCTGATAGAGTCTTTCCTTTGCTTTGCTTTGCTTTCCTTCTTCTTTATTCTCCTATTCCGTTTTACTCACTGACTCAACACTAAGCAAAAGATAGTGTAAAAAATTTTGGTATTTTTTTTTTTAGAAACTAGAGCTGCACAAACCTTTTTAACATGACTCGAAACAGAGAAAACTTTTAAAATGCTATTGTTTTGAGTTATAAAATGTTAGCGTTGAATCGCAGCGAAGAATGGTTAAAAACACTCAAACAATAAGATATGACCATCTGGAAAACATCAATCAATCCATTTTAAAAACATTTTGTTAATTATATTTTCGCCCCATTCTTATGGGCACAGCCTCTGATGTCAATACTCATTGTTGGTAATCAGGTCACCGCAAAGAAGACCACGAAAAATCTTCGAAATTTATCACAAACCCAATAAATTATTAAACACCAAAATTTTAACATAAAAACATGCTTTCCTAGAAATAATAAACGAACTCGATTCATTTGATTATTAAAGACCAACTTTCGCGGCAGAAGTTGATCTTTCTAATCATTAGGAAATTCCCTTGGTAGGATTTGTTGGGTCACAGATCATGAGGAAAGCTGAATGCCTTTGACTAGACGCGAAGGGTTGGTAAAGCAGCTTGGTTGGGTAAATATTTTTCACTCGTTACGAAGCAAGAAAAGAGGAAACTGTATTCTACTCGATGACACACGGGATAGAAAGCAAATAAACACAAAAAATGGCGATGAAAAGTTTTGTTGTCAAGTTAATGCTTAGAAACTGAAAGTAGTGTCAACGTAGAGTTCCGATTAAGAGAGTAATGCTCGGATAAGACCAAGATGAGTAGATAGGCTACACTCAATTCAAATAAGTATATATGGCATTTACCTCTTGTGAAGATTAATCACCTTGTGAAAATAAAGCAATAGAAGGTCCAGTAGAAATAGTTTTTCTGTTTAGAGAAGTGACAGTCTGGACAGCTATATTGCGGTACTCCTTCAGCACCGTCAGTGATGGCATGAATATGTCACGCGCTTAGGATTTGACATCAACAGGAAACTCATATCAAACCTCTGCTTGCTAAAACCGAAACCAAACAGGAGTACCCATGAGGTGACAGGGTGAGACAGCGTGACGCGTGATTAGGGTAAAATAAGTGCGTGATACATGAAAATAGCTAGCACTAAAATTGTATAAAGATTCGTGAATTCCAGGTTGACTAAAATGAAAGCAAGGGGTGGTTTTCTTTTCTTAAGGAGGAACTTTGTAATTTGTGAGACAGACGCCCCAAGTAAAAAGCACTGTTCTTAGTCATCCTCAAATCAAAGAATGGAGGGTCGTCAAACCCTTACCCCCGTACAGCCATCCGACAATCTATCTAATAGATTCTCCTTTTTTCGTCACCGTTGATAGATAATAACATAATAATCTTCAAGGAGATAAAGGTATGTTCTTATTCATTACTCAGTGTTTTTCTTTAAATTTTTTCTTTTTCTTTGTCCTCTTTTATTCCTTTTTCCCAATCCTCCAACACAATGGACATCTGTTTGGGATCCCTGTGCATTAAGGTTAGCTAATAAATCGGGAGCCTAGGTACTAATACGAAAAAATGGCGGTCAAACAACATCGTTGAACAAAGAATGAAAACCTCCAATGAAAAACGAAAACTTCTCCTTTATGAGGAATGGAAGGACTAAATGCCAGGAGCAAAAGAACTTGTGGAGCTTTCAGGCCAATCAAAGGGTAAGTTACATCGTTTAGTAAAAATAACTGTGGAGAACTTTGAAGTTCTTACTTGAAAGGAGAAACGTTTGATTCGTGTTCACAATTTCCAAACCTGATTTTGTTACTTCACTCTTTAGTGATAATTGTGCTTTTTGCTTTGAAAAATATGTGCAATATATTTTTCTATGTTGTGTTACATGTAAGCTGCTGTAGTCTTATTTTGAGATACGATTCATCAAGTGTTAATTTAATTAAACTTATATATGCTCGTCATGATCACATGAGTTTTATGAAAGCTCGTCTTTTTGCTTCAAGCAAACCTTTGGTAAGTAGTCTTATTACTAAGCTTATTTGTCGTTTGATTCCAGGTATTATAACTCTGATTATCCAAAGCGTGTACCACCGGAACGATTTGTTGCATCACGTCTAGTTGGTGGACTAAAAGATTTGTTTTCACAGTTATCAAACAGCAAGAAGGATATAAAAAGTAAGAGTCAAAATATTAGCAAGACTCATAGTAAAGATCAATCAAACATTTGGCAAAGACGGAGATTTGTCAGACTTGTCTAGTCCTCCAGGGGCAACAGAGGGGGTGGGACAGACTTTTTCCCTTTCTCCAGACTAGTCTCTTATATTTTCCAATGTTTTCCCCATCCTTGACTAGTATATTTTCCAATCTTAGCCCCCCCCACACACACTTTTAGGGTGCTCCTCTGCCCCTGTCCTCTTTTTCAGGTTTATGTTATAAAACTCTTTAAATAGTCAGGTATTTCCCTCTTTTAGCTGGTCATCATGTACAATGTGGTTAAGTGGGCTGAAAAATATTTAGCAATTCTAATCTCTCCCAAAAGAAAATATGGAGCACTTGCTTTTCAGTTGATAAATTAATATCCTTCTACAAAAACTCGCCCTTTTATAACACACATTTGACTCTTCAAAAGTATAGAATTGTATTCCTTATTAAAAAGTGTCTTAAAAAGGTTTTATTTCACTCCCCCCTTGGATTAGAGAGGGTATAAAATAAGTGAGTATACTTCACCTGAAATACTGTATTTAATGATACACAATTTATTGTTTTAGCTAAAGAACGTCCTAAAGAAAATGAGAATGGAATCATCCACTCCAAGCCAGGTACATAACAATAATAATTTTTAATACCTAATTTATAAAATATAAAATAATTCTATAATTTCTAGAAAAGCATTATTTTAAAGGTTTTTGTATTATTTTCAGTTCCCAACCTTGCTGGGAGATATAAAGTTTTACACCTCATCGGTAGTGGACAGTCTTCAATACTGGTTGCTGCAGAGGTAATTCTATTTGTTTTTGTTAGGATTTGCTACCATATCTTAAATTACTTTTGGCTATTTAAAATATCAATAGCCAATGCAATAAATATGTTGAAAAAATGCCCCTCAAAACATTTGAAATTGCACTTCCTAGGGTCTCAGTAAGACTTTTTGGTGGGCCGCCTTTCACTACATGCTCCTGCCTTTGGCAGTCGTTATCACATCAAGTTTTCCCAGTTAATGTGTCCTGACAGTAATCTTTATGTGTGTTTTGGGTTTTTTATTACCACTTTCATTTTTCAATTCCCTTATTTCCTTCCTTTCATTTTATTAGGATCTTCACCATCCTACCAAACAAGTAGTTGCCATCAAAATTATGAATTTAGACTACAAAACCCTTGGTGCTCAGGTAAGTTGAAGAATGGTTTTATTTTTTTTTTCCAAACAGTTAATTCATCACAGATACAAGAAGTATATATATATATATATATATATGTGTGTGTGTGTGTGTGTGTGTGTGTGTATATATATATATATGTGTATATATGTATATAATATTTGAGATATAATGCGTGCACTGATTGGTTGGCTACAGTGTTTATATCAGAGGACATAGACATGCTTGTGCAAAATTGCTCAAAAATATTTTATAAAAGCAATATAAAATGTCTGCTTATGTCTTTGTACCGTGATATAAACACTTTGGGAGATGTAGAGCACTCAGAAAGCAAGAGAAACACTCAGCTACGCCTTGTGTTCCTAAGCTTGCTTCTCCCTTGCTCTACAGCTCCCAGCATGTTTATATCACAGTTAGAGACAATTTTTATATTCCTTAAGTATAGTCCTGATTGGATAAACTGAAATCTGTCTTGCAGTGAATAACAGACAATTATTAGGCAATGCAGGGCTTAAGATAATGGCCTATCAGTTACCAGTCATGATCACAGGCCAAATTAGTTTGAGCTTAGTCATATCTCATTTCTGATTTGTTGAAATGACCAGCAAGGCAAAAGTTTTACTGGACCGGTCCCAGTTCTGGCCGGACATTTTAAGCCCTGCAATGTAGACAAGCCATTAATTTTAGCTGTGGACTTTGCTTAACCTGTCTAGTATGACAGTTGTGTGCGCTGTTAATTCTACTCTAAAGCTGTATAATCTTTTTGGTTGCATATCTTAGGAAGCTGATTGCATCCAGCAGCTTAACAGAGCTGATCCATTGAAAGTCTCAAGGATTATACGATTATTGGTAGGACTAATTTTGTATTATAAATGAAAAAGCTTAGTTAATGTGTGTATTCAATCAGTCAGTCGGTCAGTCGATCAGTCAGTCAGTCAGTCGGTCGGTCAGTCAGCCAGCCAGACAGCCAGACAGCAAGCCAGCCAGCCAGCCAGCAAGTCAGTCAGTCATGTTCCTATATCTTTTATGTCTTTCCACATTTTGTATATATAATTTTTTAAATATTTTCTTATACTTTTTATATGCTCCTATATCCCCTCCCCCCCCCCCCCATTTTTTATTGAATTATTTTCATTTCCATTTCAGAATACGTTTATATATGATGATCATTATTGTATGGCATTTGAGCTTCTTCACCCAAAACCTTTACATCAATACTTTCAGGTTTGTATTCTTTTATCACATTGTATTAGAGTATAGTTGTCATATTAGTGGGACATTATACTGCCATAGACCTCTGGTGTAATGATTCCAATATTCTCTTGAGAATAATAATTCTTTGCATGGGTTGTGGCAGTTAGGTGGACTGCGAAGTTTCAACCCCTAATGCTAGTCATCAGGCAATGGTGTAGACTTGAAGATTGTCAGTCTGCCAGTCTGGCTCCTTTGAGAATCGCGCCAGGGTTGTGATTAGCTGTGCCTGGTGGGCGTGACTGAGTGATTTTGAATGGTCGGTATCCATGCTTCTCAATTCTGCTGTCCATATTGATGTTGTTGGGGTGGAGTCTAATTTGGATGGCTTCTTTTACTGTGTGTGTATTTCAACAGCTTGTTGCAAAATTGTTTTTTTTTAGTGCCACCAGTCAATAACATAAAAGGTACCAACTAATGTTTTTGATTGATGGCAGTGAAAAACTAAATTTCAGCGTGCAGCTTGTAACTATTTGCAGAATATCATTGTTATTATTGTCATTAATGTCATTTATATTTTTGTTACATATTGTGTTTTATAGAGAACAGAACTTGATTCTGAGGTTAGTTATTTTCCTAAAAAGTCATTCTTTTAGTCTTCTCTCTAGTCCATCTTTTTTTCTTTCTTTTCAATTGAAAACTAAAATTTTAAAGTGTTTCTTGTTCATTTACACAAACAGGATGAAATCTTTGAAAAGCTCAAAGAAGTGACCACTCAGGTTTGTTTGTTTGTTTTTTATTGAAAGGATAAATTTAAAGATTGTTAGTACTTTTGAGTAATTACTCTTATTTTGTTTTATAGATTCTTGGAGTATTGGGATTTCTCAAAAGGTAGGGATTATCAATGTGCATTTTAAACAGCTGCTATCAGGGGTTTCATTGAGTTTTGAAATGATAGGCATTAATTGAGCTATGTAACTGCAATGATAATAATAATAAACTTAATTTGATGAAGGTATACAATTTATCAAAGATAATATTCAATTGGCCTTTGAAATAATACCTTAGTATGCAACCCCTGAAGTCTTACAAAACAGGTTAAATTGGAGGTTAATCATTACGAACATTTTTTGATTTATTAAGTAGTGGTTTGTGAGCAGTTGGAACGAGAAATGTGTCCATAAAATAACCCAGTTTTTTATCTTCTTGTAGAGAAAATGTCATCCATGCAGACCTGAAACCAGAGAACATTCTCCTTGAATCAGGTACTAATTCTATTAAGTTACCATACTTGAGCTCAATCACTGTTTCTTTTGATGCAACATAAAAAATATTTGAAATGTAAAGCACGAGCTGATTGGCTGGCTACTGTGTTTGTATCAAAAAATTGACAAGGTTGCACAAAATGGTTTGGAAAAATATCTTGTAAAAGAAATATAAAACAGCTGCTTATGTCTCTGTTTTGTGATATTAACACTCTGGGAGCTGTAGAGCACTCGATAACCAAAGAAACAATTGGCTATGCCTTGCCTTCCTAACCTTGCTTCTTCCTCATTCTCTACAGCTCCCAGAGTTTTTATATCACAGTACAGAGACATGCATGTGTGTTTTGTATTCCTTAAATGTGACATTCTTTGTACTAGGTAGAAAAATGAGAATCAAGGTTGTTGATTTTGGGAATGCTATTCGCTGGGTTCATCAAGAAGTGAGTGATCTATTGTCTATGGTTTTAAAGTATAGAAACCTTTAAGAATGCAATTGAAGATCATCCTTCTTCACTCCATATGATCTATTTTGTTTTGTTTCAGATGTCACTGTATTATGATAACTTCGAGCTTCAAACTTTACTCTACCGTGCACCAGAGGTAATAGTGTTGTTCTCTATAGCCTTCTAGCCATCTAAAAGAGGTTGCTAATTTGTCTGTTTATTTTTTTTTAAATTAGAGACTCCCTACACCTTCATAGATGTTGACCATCATAATATCAGGTTTTTCTTTTCCAGGTAATGTTTGGAGTTCCATTTGGACCAGAGATAGACATGTGGTCCTTAGGCTGTATAGTTGCTGAGGTGAGGAGTTCCCACGGGAATCACAAAACAAACAAACAAACACATGAATCAAACAATTTTTCTGGATGTCTACACATTACTACTTGACATAACATTTGATCAAGGGTGTTTTCACATGAGAATCAGGAGGAACTTATCCAGTATCAGGAGGGGAGTCAAGCTGACTTGTTGGTAAAATGCACTCCTCTCTCCTCTGAAGTCCAATTTTTGAAATCCAGTCACCGCATATTAGCTGAGTTTGTTGGTTCTCTGACCCTTCAGATGAGGGCTATTACGCCTAATTCAAACTGGTTAGTGCTATGTTCCAGGGTCATACATGGACTGCATAGTTGCTGCCAGAGGCATCTTTGACCCTGTTGAGCTACATCACTTCTGTATTTGTGCTGCTGAATAGTGATAGCATAACTAGTTTTCTTTTCCTTTTATCCCAGGATCATGTCTATATTATCCCTTTCAGAACACTAATCCAAATTTCCAAATTCTTCTTTTCTTAGCTCTACTTGGGTGAGCCACTGTTCATGGAACAAAGCAAGATGGGCATCTTACAGGAGGTTTGTAAAAATGAGAATATCTGTAGTTAGTCATGTTGTCAACCTGTACTGACTCATTCTTTGAGTGTTAAGAACTGTTGTTGTCCTCTTTTTCAGATGGTATCTGTACTTGGCCCATTTCCACGAATTCCTTTCCAGTCTGGAAAATTTTACTCCGAATTTGCTGGTTTTATCAGCTCAAAATCAGGTAAGTAGTTCGTCTCTATTTTCAATGGTACCTAGGGTCTAACACTCAAATGGTAAGGGCAACATTTTGATCGACTTTCAAATGGTTTCTGCAACTTTTTGAATGACTCTCAAATGGTTTGTGCAGCATTTTGACTGGCTCTCAAATGGTTTGTGCAACTTTTTGACTGTCATTCAAATGATTTCTGCAACATTTTGGCTCACTTTCAAATGGTTTCTTCAAAATTTTGAATGACTCTTAAATGGTTTGCGCAAAATTTTGACTGACTTTCAAATGGTTTGAAAACATTTGACTGTCTTTCGAATGGTTATTGCAACATTTTGACTTTCTTTCGATTGGTTACTGCAACGTTTTTGACTGACTTTCAAAAGGCTTCTGTAACACTTCAAATGGTTTTGCGTATAAAATTTCTTAGCACTTTTAAAATTAGAACCAGAGTTAATAGAGCATTATCTACTAACTGTGTGAGAACCCAGTTGAATACATATATATATATATACTATTACGCCTCAGGTCCACTTGTTCCATCCCTGGAAACAAGATTAATGAAGAAACTACACAACATGAAAAACTTTACCTTCGCCAATTTTCTTTCTGGTTTACTGCAGTATAATCCAAGTGAGTTGTTTTTATTTTCACCGTCCTTTTTTCGATATCATTAAATTTTCCCGTAGCATTACTTTTCTACTGAACAAAAAAATTAGACCTCTTTGCCTTGGGATTAATGTTTTACCATTTTCGGACCACAGCTCGAGTATCAATTCTTTGTTTAACGGTTGAGCATGATAAGGCAAATGAGAATAAAAAGGGAATAAATCATGTTTTCAAAATAGGAAAATATTACACCCAAGCTTTATGAAACAAATCGAGCCCCAAACTCTCAACATTATGGGACTATTGGTTGAATGGCTGAAAACATTGCATCGTTAATTGCCAGCAACGTTGCAGAAGTACTCGGATCTCGATTATATACTTCGCTAACGTTGCTGGTAATGTTGTGCGCAACACTCATAGAAGTGTACACATGGTCTAATTTTTCAGTCGTGTGCAACATTACAGAAGATCTTCTTTCTACTTTTGCCGACAGCGAGCTTGCAACAGCCGCAGAGATAGACACAGGACTGAGGCAATTTTGTTGTTGCGTGCAAGAACTTCCGCCATTTATACTGCCCTCACGTTTCATTTTTCTCCTTTTTAATTTCTCTTATTAAGCAAGGTTTTCTTGTATTTTTCTTTGTTGTAGACAACCGTTTGACCCCAGTACAAGCAGCATCTCATCCATTTCTTGCCTCTCACTTCCCTTTCGCGGAATTCTTAACAACAGAAGACGAGCTCCAAGGTCGATCAGAAACTCGTCGTTCAGGAATACTTCTGACTCCATCTCAGTACACATACCGTCCAAACATCGATGATGATATTCGTCGACAGCACCTCTCGTCTCTTGACCTACTCCATTGCGGAACAAGAGGCAAAAACTCCCTGGTACCAAAACGGACTAGCACCCCTCCTGTGGGGCGAGTTGTCCCTCTGGTAAATTATGGTAGAAGTAATTCAATTGATAAAGAAGACACCAAGCGACATCTAAATCAAGGAATATCAGAGAGACAAACTACTGAAACTCAAGCCACGCAGGGTTCTGTGTTGCAGGGTGGCAGAAACAGCACTCAGAAAATAGGGCAAAAATCCGTTTCACTAAAGATCGAGGAAAACGCTTTACCTATTCCATCTAATATATTGGAAAACAAAAATGGCAGTCTGTTACACCAACCCGCGGGAAACACGCGAGTGACTGAGGGAACGAAGTTTTTATTGGCCAACGAAACACAAGGTGTGGCTCCTTTTAACATACCAGTTACGTCGCCTGATGAACGTCGCTATCAAAGGAGTTCAGAGAAAATCGTTAATATAAAAGCCCAAAACTCAAATACAATTGAATTTCACGAAAATCCTTCCCAAAGTAATGATGCATTAAAAGATACAAGTTACGAGTGCCTTGAAGGTGGCATGGCTGACAGTAGAGATAGTGATGCTGTTGAATCCAGGGAACGAACTGAATATCACCGCGATAAAACATCGTCTGCCAGGATACGAATCTACTGTCGCTCAAAGAAACCCCGAACCAAGAAAGATTCTATCTTACAAGGCAATGAACTAAGTCTTTCAGACACAGGTAGTTGTTCTCATATTGCTGAAGGAGATTTTGTACTTTCACAGGGTCAATCATTTCAGGCATCTTTGAGTTCAGACTCCTATCTACCAGAGTCGTATTCAAAACTCGAAACAAGTCGTATGTCGTACGCGACGTGTGACAGAAGTAAGGACGAAACTGGCGAAGGTTATCAGACAAATAATCGATCCACGTCTCCGTCTATTAAGATGTCAGATATCAAGAACAGTAGCAGTAGTCGAAAGAGAAGTATGTTATCAGACGTTTCGTCTTCAATGAGTGATGTTTTTTCCTCTGATAATGAAATCTCCGAGTCGAGATCGCAAAGAGGAAACTCATCGAAGAAAAATGTCAAATTACAAGAACTGGAAAAAGCAACAACAGAGAAAACGACTCGACTAAAGGAGGTGAGGACTGTAGCAAAATGTATTATATACTTATATTTAAATCAAAACTGTTTGTGTCAGCGACGCATATAATCCAGAGGTGAGAAAAAATGAAATGGTTACAGGGTTCGTGGTACTCCTTGAAATCCTTGAAAAGCCCTGGAATTGAAAACTCATTTTCAAGTGCACTCGAAAAGCCCTTGAAAATAGCAATGTTGCTGGATACTCCTGGAATACTCCTTCAAATTGTAACGTTCTTGTAGCTCCAATGACGGCAAGGCGTTGGTAACTCGTGCTGAGCTTCAAAACTTTTAAAGTCATTGTTAAAATGAAGTCAATAAAATAATTTTTTTTGTCTCTATGAATTATTAAGAAAAAATTCAGAGACAAAATGGTCCTTTAAAATCGTAATTTTGGACCTTAAAAAGTCCTTGAATTTTGCGTTTGAGATAAAGCGTGAACCCTGTGGTTAGTAAAGGGAATCTTGCTGTATGCCAGAATTTATCCCTTATTATTAAACAGCCAATCCCAATGCAGGGAATCTGTTGTATGTTCGACAGTTTCTTTCAATCAGGCATTGCGGTGTTTTGAGAATTTCTTGTCTAAATTCCTAGGTGTTTTCAATGGTGTGGGATAAAATAGTCATGAATGCTTTTTCATGGCACACAATGGAAAATCCCACTTGCCACTTGTATGTAATAGTTATACAATGTTTTCTCGTGGCACACCATGGAATATCCCACTTGTCACTTGTATATAATAGTTATACAATGTTTTCTCGTGGCACACCATGGAATAACCCACTTGTCACTTGTATATAATACTGTTATACAATGTTTTCTCGTGGCACACCATGGAATATCCCACTTGTCACTTGGATTTTCTTAGGAAACATACTTTCCTGAAGGCTCTGGTATATAGAGTTTTTGCACCATCACGTGACGGTAGCCATGTTGGATGGCAGAAACAACACAATCATTTTAAACGAGAAAGCATAAAACTCCCGAGAGGAAAGGGATTTTATTGTTCTGACATCTAACCACAGGCAGTCCAAGCAGTATTATGGGCGCCGGCACGTGATGGTGCAAAACCTCTATACTAGAAGATATAATTCATGACTCGTAGGATATTCCATTGTATGCCACAGGAAATTATTGTATAACTAGTAGTATGTTCTAATGTTATTGTCAATCCTCTTTATAGCAAGGAGATAATCAACTTCATTTAACACCGAAAAGAGCTCGCTGTTCACTAAAACTAGTATATTCACACGAAAATGACGTAAGTATGTTTTGAACACACCAAGAAATAATCAGTGAAGATTTGGCACTTGGTTAATTATACTGTATACTGCAGGTGTAAAGTGTTATCCCATCATCACCGTTATTAGCATTAGTATCATCATTATTCACCTTTATCACCACACAATCACCACCACCATCATCATCATCACCATCATCCTCACCATCATCATAACAGCCCCGAAGTCAGTGCAAAGTGTGAATAGCGCTATCCGATGGATAAATCCTTTCCCAGTGGATAAGTCAATGCTGTCATACAATAAATTTACCCATCGGACAGTGCTATCCCACCCTTCGCACACCCAGGCCCTAATTTTCAGTTGTTTACTATTTCTAGGAGGTGAATCTTCTCTAAGCCCAACACAGTGTAAGCAGGTCTTCTCGTTGGTAATCTGTGATGAAGTCAGAATTTTAGTTCTTTTATAAACAGACCAGTTTATAAGGAAACAGTTTTATATATTTTGTATCATACATATTTTTAACCATATCGATAGATATCTTTTACAGATGTTGTTCCCATATCAGCAAAAAATACGATTAAAACACACTCTGAACACAAGGATAGAAACGTGTACACAGATCGAGTATCTTGGGCTCGTTGCACAGGGTATTTACAAGGAATATAGTTCATTTTCTCTTGGTATTCATTTTTACATCAGTAACACTTCTCGGGCGAGAATGCAAAGTACTCTGGTGGGGAAAGGATGCATTCCTCTCGCTTTACTAAACTCATATAAAGAATGAATCTAACAATGAATCCGCTTGTCTAGTGGAAACTTGATTCTCACGTCACCCTTCCTGCCTAGAAATGCTCAGAAAATATTGCGACATTTCCAAGAACGCAAAACTGATTTTTTCCCTAATGACAAAATACCCCCTTAGCAATTTTCGCCTTCTTTGTGTATTATTCGTTTCACCTCATAGACTGAGATCTCTCCCTAAGCGGTCCAGGTTTTTTACATTATCTGTTGCATTTCGACGCATCAGACGTCTCGAACATCAAATCCTATTGATATTAGACCTCTGTGAATGAAATATCTCAGAGGTCGAGGGCGGCGGTAACAAACCTTGACTACCTCAAATGGATCAAACAAATTGGGTACATGTCTGAACCGCCAACCGCATTGTTGTCAACTTCTCGACCGAGCCTACGCCGGGCCTACTCTCACAGTAAGATTTTCTATCAATTTAAAAAAACAAGCAGGATAGGGTTTATCATTATTAGTAACTGAAGGAAAGCTGATACATGAGAAGTGCGGTCTACAGTGGAACTGGCTGAGACAAGTTGAACAAACTGAAAAGACGACACTTAGCCGCCCGGGGGAAAAATCTTTATTACATGACCAAACATTAATGACATTTTGCGGCAAATTGGCTATTATTTTCACATGCAAAACAACTGACTTGGTTTTGCTTAGTGTCTCTTGGTTTTGCTTATAGTGTCTCCCGCAGCCCTTTTAGTCTCTGGAGACTATTTTGCTAAACGAAGGTGATAAAATATACCTCTTTACCTTGGGCGTAACGTTTCCCCATTTCCGGCCACGCGTCAATTCTCTTGGTAAAAGATTCTTTGTTGTATCCATAGTCATTTGTCGTCTCATGCTACTCTAGGAAATGACAAATGGTCTTAAATGGGAAAAGATTACGTCCCAAGATGAAGAGCTCTACAAGGGAAAATGTTCTACCAAAAGGGTTACAGATTTAGAGGAATCGGTAACAATTCTAGCACAACTCTGCGTTTCCACCACCCCGCCCCTACCCATCCATCAGCAAACATTGGGGAACTAACATTAGAGACTTCAAGAGGCAAGTGAGAACGGATGGAGTAAAACGTGAAAAAGCGCACGCATTCTGAAGCCATTAAAAAAAATGTCACTTCAAAACTAGCCGTTTCATTCATTATTGGTGTTAAAAGAATGAATTTGAACGAAATCGCATTCAGGTACCTGTTGAATTGAAAATTCCACACGAAGTTTACTTTGTCGAACAAATTTTTACTCAAATTCTGCCCTTATTATTTGTAAAAGATATTCTTAGTGACTCTCGTCATTTGACTTTTGACACGAAAATTTTCTGGTATGAATGATTTGGATTTTTTCTGGCTGAAATTTAAAACCTTGGCGCATGCGTCGTAATAACACAATAAAAAAACTATTGTATTTACCAGACGTCAAGGACAGCGAATGAACGATTCTTAAAATCACACGTGCAAGAAATCAGAGATATGTAGTCTTCATTGCGAATTGTTTCGAGAATTCTCGATTATTTTAAAAACAAATATTCTAAAAGTCTTTGAAAAACCCTGCTTTGTGATATGGCGAAGTGTTGGATAGTATTATTAACGATATTTAATGGAATAGTATTGAGTACAGCCGAGGTCTTCTCTGCTCTTTCACATACAGAGCGAGTTTTAGGTATAGAACTGGAGTTAATCGATGCATTGGACGCTCATATTAGACAACAAGAGACACAACTCAAAGTTCTTAAAGATTTTTCGCGGGAAGTACGAGGGGCAGTTAAACAAGCTGAAAAGGAAGGAACCAGTTTTTTAAGTCATCCTGTGAATTCGTATCTTATGATTAAAAGATTTGTAAATGAGTGGCCATCGATTGAGAAAACTGTCAACCAAGAATCTACAGAAGAAGGTAATATAAGGAGTTCTTTAATATATGAACCATATCACGAACATTTGGTTTATTTAGCCGTAAAATCTTTAAGTAGTTATCTTAACATTTTCTGGTGAATGCACTGTCGCGCATCTCTCGTGAAGACTTCATATTGTATATTCTCCATCGATCACTTACTATCGTTTACTAAATCACTGATAACCTTAAATTAAGCTCTATAGTTAAAACATAAATGCTGTTTGGATTCATGAATTTTGAATTTCAAGTAAATCTTCTAAATTTTACGATAACTAAATGCGAAAGCTAGCTTAGTAGTAATTTCGATTGGTTTGCTGTCAATATTGACCTATTCATTCATAGGTAATCTTACATCGTAATCTTAAAAGTTTAATGCGTTAAATGACAGAGTTTTTTGATTCACTAAATACAAGCGAAGAACCAAATGCGCGATAGATATTCTGTAGTAAACTAGATCGCGCGTGGATGTATAGGTAGACTGAACTGGAAGGAATTTCACAACATGACGCTTCCTCTGATATTTGACTCCACGTCTCCTTGTGTTTATACAACTTTACCATCTCCAAACCGAATATTGACAATAGCTGCTACAGATCACCCTTTATTGCAGTGAATTATTGTCTCATGTTTAAAATCATCAAAGTAAGGCTAATGGGTCAATGGCAAGGCAAATTTGGCCTAAATCCTGTGTTATGCTTTCTTTTGACATACTCGGAATATCCCACTCGTAACTCGTATTTTCTTGTACTAGCTGTTGCATAATGCAAATGAAATGCTGCGAGTATGTATAAGATAATATCAAAAATGTTTATGGTATGTAATGTCAGTTTCCTCTGATCTTTTTCTTTTGTGACATTGATTGTCTTTCTCTATTCAAGTGAAAGAGAGCAACCACAATGGGTTGTCATTTGTTTTGATTTATGCCTCACTGGGCCCTACCACAATAGGTAGATCAGTATTTGTCACCAAAATAGGAGATGGATTATTTGTTGCCTCAGTTGGCAATCGGTGTGATATATTACGTGCATCAATGACCGACTGTTTTGTTTTGTTTGCCTCAATGGGTGAGGAAGAGCAAGCTCTGTCAGTCAGAAAGTTGTGTGACAACCTCTCGGTATCTGGGATGGTTTGTCTTTTAAGTGCACTCAAGTACATGGTGCCTCCTTCTGTAAGGATCTCATCTATGGTGGCGGCAGTACAGCATTTGATTAGCAAAGTCTGAGCACATAACAGCACAGAAAAACTTATGAAAAAACATTGTCTTCCCCGTGAAATGTCACTAAATCGTTCATGACCTTGATGAATGCTTCCAACAATAAGTAAGTTTGTGTTTGACATAATTAGAGTACAAAAAAGAAGGCTTATTTTATCTTTAGGGAGCGAACCTGTGTAAACAGCAAATCGAGCAATGTGCTTTCAATGTAACACAAATTCATGATAAAACACGCTGAACAAACATACTACATACTCCGAAAATCATCTCGACGACCACAAATTGAGATTCTTTCTGGCATATAGTACACAGGGATCCTGAGTGTAAAGATTAGTCTTGCTGCTAGCCTGATGGCTCGCAGCAATATTATACTTTTGCCCTAAACATAAAGGTTCATGTCAGAAATTACAAGTAAAAAATACCAGAAAATACAAGTGTGCCTTTTGGAATATTCCATAATATAGTGTAGGAATTTTGATAGAAAACTAGTCCCAATATTTCACTAGTGAGAGTACCAGCTGCTCTAAACCATTGTATAAGTAGTATATATATGCAAATATATGTATATGTGTTTGAGCATATAGTTAATGATCCTATATTTCTTCTTTTCAAGCCATCTTATTAGCAAAACTTGATGTATGGAAAAGAAGATTTCCAGACGAATATGATTTAAAAGGAGCCATAACAGCCATCAAAAGACTGCAAGAGGTCTACTCACTAGAACCTGCTGATTTCTCTGAAGGCCGTTTCGGCAGCCATCACGGGTCTGAATACATGTTAGGCCCACGTGACACCTTTACTATTGGAAGATATTCATATATTGAAGATGATTTTGAGGCAACAAGACAGTGGATGTTGGAGACTCTACGTCTGATGGACTTGGGAATTGGAAATGAGACGGCTTATCCAGATAGGGCAGAGGTGCTAGATCATCTTGCTTTTGCAGAATACAAGGTGGGCTGTTATTATCCTTTTTATCAATATTGACCTTTCTGCTAGCGTGGTAGCCATGTTGTCTGGAGCAATATATTTTTGTCCCTCCAGCCTTCGACTGTATTCAATCATTTCAGGATGAGTTTGAATGGACAGAGACATGCCTTTGATGTTCATGTGAATAGATTTTTGCTGCTGATGCATGATTGATAATGTCTGTTTCTTAAACTTTGTTTATTGCATTCTTGAAGCTGCAATCACACCCTTAACCTGAATGAGGTGCGTGTCAGCTGTGACTTCAAATTGATGTTAGATAACAAAGGTCAGGGCATGGGTTACTTGCAGACCAAATTAGAATCATGTGTGTGTTGATTCATGCGTGGGCAGCTGTTGGAAAACTGGAGGACCCAGAAAAATCCCTTAAATCAAGAAAGATATCCAACGAACATATCATGCCAAATCCAGGAATATTAAATGTTAGACCCATAATACATAGCATAGCCAATCATAATGTAGGATTCCTAAAAGCTCACACAGTTTTATTGTATCCAGGTATATTTTAGTTAATATTTCTATTCTTTCTTGCAGACAGAGGATGTCGAAAGTGCAATGATCCATACACTAGAGCTGATCAAGATAAGTATGTAGCATGCTTTCACAAGATTACATTCTCCGACCATCCAGCCTATAAGGCGAGGCACAATTGGGAAATTTTCAACAATGGGAATACCTTATTATACGAGCTCTTCTGCTATCAACAGTAACTCCAACAGTATAACCACTGATGTAGGCTATCTTTTAGTTGGAAGGGGCTTTTCTATTCTCCCGGCATGGAGCAACAATAAAAAACTAATGGTTACAAGTGCCATTCTTTTTTAAAACATTCTTGTCCTCGTCATGGCCATAGCTAGAGGATAATTTGCTGACTCTACACTTGAAAAATTAATATAAAAGTGGATAGAGCATTCAGCTTGGGCGTAATGTTTTCTCATTTCAAACCACATGTCATTCCCTTTGAGGATAAGATTCTTCGTTTAATTTTCGTTCATATTTAAGTGTCTTCTAAAGCATTACAGGAAAGTAAAGTTAGAATGATTCTCAAGAAAATAACACTTGGTCTGAAATGGAAGAACATTGTGTCCTAGCTAAGGATGTGGGCTGTTCTCTCATTGCACAGATTTGTTCTTTAAATGTTCTGTTGACTCTTCCAACCCTCTGTAACAATATCCTCCCTTCCCCACAAATTGGGGAAAAAATAAAACTTGCCTCGAATAATCATGATTTCTTTACAGACCCAACAAATGAACGCGCTCGAAACAATGTCATTCACTATGGTGAAGTGTACGAAAGCAACAAGGAGCACTTTGAAGAGATAAAACGCCTAAGAAAAAGAAAAAGACCAAATGGAAAACATGGCTGGATGGGACGAAGACTCCAACAAAAAAGTTTGCAAGATGTGAACTGGCATATTGAGAGAGATGTATACAAAAGGCTTTGCCGTGGTGAAAAGCTTCCTAAGGTATGGAATGTACATGAGTCTTTGTTCTAGTCGTATTAACTTTAACTGTGGGTTGTGATTGCATACCTGGACATTACGTACCATGTACATGTTGTAAGCCTGTTTTTTATGCACCTATGCATGTGCATTATGTGCGAACTTTGAGAAGCGCTGCCATCAGCATTGCTGATGATATGATGCTGTATTAGGTTTTTCATGAATGTCAAAAGCCATGGTGCTTGGTATGTTAACAGTAGAAATGTCTACAAGCAAATGCTGTTGTTGCACAGTACTTGAAAGTTGGACTGGATATGCACATGTGCAATTTATCCCATGTCCCGAGGCGAAAATGCATGCACTAGTTTATGATTTTTAAAATAATATTCTACTGGATAATATGAATGACAGCAACATAAATTCACATATATGAGCATGTTACTATATATGTGTGTGTTTAAATCTCTAATCTTGCTCATGCAAGCAGAGGGTTAACGTTTCTCCTATGGTATGGCTGTGTTGCTTTTGTTTCTTCTGTTACTCTAGTTGTTGCTGTTTCTTTTGTTACTCTTGTTATTGCTGTTTCTTCTGTTGCTCTTGTTTTTGGTGTTACTGCTTTGTTTTGCAGTGTTGCTTTTATTGTTGCTGTTACTCTAGTTGTTGCTGTTTCTTCTGTTACTCTTGTTGTTGCTGTTTCTTCTGTTACTCTTGTTATTGCTGTTTCTTCTGTTGCTCTTGTTTTTGGTGTTACTGCTTTGTTTTGCAGTGTTGCTTTTGTTGTTGCTGTTACTCTAGTTGTTGCTGTTTCTTCTGTTACTCTCGTTGGTGCTGTTTCTTCTGTTACTCTTGTTGTTGCTGTTACGGTTTCTTCTGTTGCTTTTGTCGTTGGCGTTACTGTTATTGCTGTTCAGTGTTGTCGTTATTGCATTGGTCTTGTTATTACTGTTGCTGCATTCAGTCTTCGTTTTCCCCTGCAGTCTCCTCAAGACCACAAAAGACTCAACTGTTGGTACTTCACGGCAGACCCGTTGTGCACCATCAAGAGATGTGCTGTGGAGCGTGTGTTTACAGACCCTGATATCCTCATCTTTAAGGATATCATGTCTGACAGTGAAATCAATGAAGTTCGAAAGATATCCGAGCCTATGGTGAATACTGAACGAATAGGTCACTTGTATTAGAGCATTATTTACTACCACTACCAGACTCCCTTTTTTCGTTTGTTTAGTTTATTAGCACCAGTTGTCTTACTATTATCATGAAGAAATACAATTTCAATAAGGGAGAAAATTCGCGAAGCATTTTGGTAGTGGTAGTAAAATGACGGCATCATGCAAACAGCCTATTTGGGAACTTCTTAATAATATAGTAATAATCACTAGTGATATTTCAATGATCCCAAGCTTGAGCTGCAAGCTGTAATAGACAGCACCAGAGCAGCGTATGTCATACAATAGAAGTAGGAATGATCATCGTATCTGGATGATCGTAGGAAAAATTTGATGTCAACGAATATTAAAGGTTGAGGTGTTGCTTTTTTCTGTAGCTTAACAGAGCGACTGTACACAACCCACTGACGGGAAAGCTTGAAACAGCACAATATAGAATCAGCAAAAAGTAAGTTCTTGGGGTTTCTTTCTTCTCCTCCTTCTCTCTCTCATTCCTCTGTTTCTCTCCACCTCCCCCCAAAGTAAAAATAAATACTCAGAATTAATTTTATTCCTCTGGCATATTATTTTTTAAGGATAAAATTGGAATCGAAACTGATCATATATTGCTCCATGAGTGAATAACAGAAAAAACCTCTTTGCATTTAAGGGTGGATTTGACGGCGACTTTCGCGCCAAAAAGCGCGCGCTTGCACCCCAACTCTTGCTTTGCCACTCTGATCATCTATGCGCCTTGGGATGTCGTGATGTGGTGTCACGTTAAAAAACTCATGAATTTCTTTAGTTTTCCAACAATTTAGACAATGGCACTATCTGTATGAGTACCTCTCTTTATTATCATCCTAACCACGTAAAGGTATAATCATTTGCAGATATAATTACAAAGGCGGAAACGTCTGGGGTTTTAAGACCATGGGTGTTGGTCCGGCCGAACCACGACCACCAACCACGACCTCCGGCGCACAACACCGACGCTCTTACCAACTGAGCTAACCGGATGGCTTCATTATCACTGATTATCATGAACATCTCTTCATGACTATCGGTGCTATTTACTGTGTGTTTTTGTTTGTTTTCTAGTTGCTGGCTGACAAAGAAGGATGGAAATGTTATTCAGAAAATTGAAAATCGAATCGCAGCTATGACAAGACTAGACCTGCAGACGGCAGAAGGCTTCCAGGTCAGTGGGGCAGCATTGATGCAAACAGGCAGATCTTGTAGCACTTGTGTGCTTTGTATTTGTCAGGCAGTTGTATTTGATGAGATACTTTTGATTTTATTTTAAGGTTCAAAACTATGGACTGGCAGGACACTACGACCCACATTTTGATTTCTCAAGGGTAAGTCTTCACTGATTTAACCTCATTACCCTTCATGATCAAGTTGTATCAAAACCTGAAACAACCCGTGAGCTGTTCAAGGTCAGAACGGCTGACTCGCTGATCGAATCGGAATTTAGCGTGTTGGGCTTTTTTTCGTTTGTAGAGTCGAGAAAGCATCTGGAGCAACACCCACTCTTTGACTTTTAAAAAACGCACGATTTTAATTCTCATTAACGTATTTTCTCTGCAGAATCTGAGCAATTCATCACTCGGAGCTCTTGGGACTGGTAACAGATTAGCCACAGTACTTTTATATGTAGGTGCACTAACGTTTACTTTGCTTCATTCATTATACGCCTATTTCAAGAACGGTTGACGGAGCCAAAGGAGATAGGCGATAGGTCATTCCAAGAGGGAAATAAATCATGGGCCCACACCTAAATATACTAAATAAACATACTACAAACAACATTAAATTTACGCGTTCTTGACGAGAATAAGAAGCGAGAGACACAAGTCATTCCAGCTATTCTTGGAATGACCTATCTCTAATCGCCTATAGCCTGTCATCAACTTTGGCTCCAACAACTTTTTTTGAAATAGGCACATATAATTTTTGTTCCCAATTCTTGGGGTTGCATTTGACGTCATAGCCGCCATTTTGGTTTACTTTAACAAAATATTTGGTCTTGCTCCTTTTTATGTTATATCAACTGGAAATAGCAGCCATGTCTTTTGTCTGTTTATTTGTTTCCAATTCTTGGGGTGCATGTGACGTCAAAGCCGCCATCTTGGTTGACTTTAACAAAATATTTGAATTTGCTCCTTTTTATGTTATATCAACTGAAAATGGCAGCCATGTCTTTTGTCCATTTATTTGTTCCCAATAGTCTCCTTCACGGTTCCCTGCGCCATCTTGAAAGGTAGCCGGGCCTTTGCATTGAAGCGAGACGAACCAGCAGGGAACCGTGAAGGGGACTATTCTTGGGGTGCATGTGACGTCATAGTCGCCATCTTAGTTAACTTCGACGTAAGACTTGGTCTTGGCTTCCTTTATTATGCCAACTAACATGTCCACCATGACTTTTGTCGGTTTATTCTCATGAGAAGGGATGCACGCCGCCAATAGTTATTTAATGCTATTTCCAATTTGTATTGATTAAAGATGACTAAAGTAGAAGCCGGAGGTGCAACTGTATTCCCATATATTGGTGCTCGAGTCCTTCCTCAAAAGGTGAGTTGGTCTTTCAATCCCCTCCCCTCCCCCCAAGACAAATTAAGTCTGCTTGTCAACCCAAGGAGGGGTTGGTAGATCACCCTATAGGTTCACTTCGACCCTTCCAAAAAATCTCCACGCGTTATATCGATTAAAGCTTTACTTGTGTTATGACAGTACGTTGTCGCTCCTTCAGGACTTTGCAGTCCACTTAATAGAGGGTCTTCCCTGTATATGTGAGATACATATGAAATTTGATTTATAGTAAAAAGGTCGGTACATACGAGGTAGCGCCGGTCCGAGTAATAAAGGTTTGCAGGTCACTTAATAGAGGCTGTTTGCTGTATAGAGATTTGTTTTGCGGTAAATACTTAAAGGAGAAAAACGTTTCGGTACTTACGAGGTAGCGGTCGTGCAATAAATGTTTGTGAGCCGCTTAAGCCAGTGTTTGCTGTTTAGATATTTATTTTACAGTAAATGCTTATAGGAGAAAAAATAATTCGGTACTTACGAGGTAGCGGTCGTGCAATAAATGTTTGCAGGCCGCTTGATAGAGGCTGTTTGCTATTTAGATATTTATTTTACAGTAAATGCTCATAGGAGAAAAAATAATTCGGTACTTACGAGGTAGCGTTCAATGTTTTTACGTGCATTGATTTGCACCACCCACGCAACTCGTTCTAAATAATTTTCATCTCTTAATTTCAAAAGTTTTATTTGTGTACTACCCATCCATCAGAAAGCACTGAAAACTGTTCGAGAACCGCATATCACGGGTTTTTCTTTGTTTTTTGTTTTTTTTTCAAAATCTTTTCCATAACCTAGTTTTTGATGGAACATGTTAAGAAACGTGTCGAATGTTTTTAGGGCGATGCGGTGTTCTGGCACAACCTCTTACGATCAGGAGAGGGAGATTTTCGTACACGACACGCTGGCTGCCCTGTTCTGTCGGGAATCAAATGGGGTAGGTTTTGTCAGTTGGATGTTCGTTTTATTTTCTAGTTAGGGGTAGTTCTTGTCTGTCTGTCTGACTGAGTGACTGATTGACTGACTGATTGGCCCACTAGAACCTGAGTGTCTGTCTGTCTGTCGGTATGAGTGACTGGATGACCGACCGATGACACGAGGGTCGACTTATTTCCTACTATTGATTTAGTGGCAGGGATTATGCGTTGAAATTGTTGATGGTGTGTGACTTTAATAGTTCTGCAATGCTTTTTGCATGCTCGTACCCACTGCAAGATTCGTGATGCTGTTATCGTAAAGTCGAACAGTCAATATATCTTAACACAATTGTTTCAATCTTCTGTCCCACTCAGTGGCCAACAAATGGATACACGAGTATGGGAACGAGTTCACTCGACCGTGTTCGCTGCGATCAGACGAATGATGACCATCACCCGTTACCATAGATAATGGCGACTCACATTGACGTAGATATATATAGTAACGACACTCGCATCCACTAAATTAGACAGAGTTTACAATGCCTTTTAATTGAAAGAGATTTGTAGTATTTTTAGAATATTCAATTTTTATGTCGCGCTAAAAATTTTATAAAGGCTAATTTTGATAATTTTATACCCCCGCCACCTTAATGAAATTAAGAAATTTTAACCAACATAATGATTTATAATGATCTTAGAAGATGGGATTACATGCAGCGGGACTGGAAATTAGGTCACCGGCCGGGAAATAATGAAAAATGGAATTGCAAACCTGGGATTACCCCAAGGTTCATCACTGGGTCTGGGATGGAATTTAGGTCACGAGCCGGGAATTAATGAAAAGTAGAATTGCAAACCTGGGGTTACCTCAAGTTTCATCACTGGGTCCGAGATGGAATTTAGGTCACAGACCGGGAATTAATGAAAAGTAGAATTGCAAACCTGGGGTTACCCCAAGGTTCATCACTGGGTCTGGGATGGAATTTAGGTCACAGGCCGGGAATTAATGAAAAGT